GGGGCACTTATGTAACTCGTAAAGGTGTGGACATTCAGGTGAAGGGAAGCTATAGACCAAAACAAATAAAATAACAAAAACTTTACGTCTAGCTGTGTGTTTTCATAACACTCATGTGGTATCATATACTTATCGGCTCTCTTTGTCAGGCACAGGGCGCCATGCAAAACTCCGGTTACTCATCAAAATGTTATTTACCTGTTCTTTTACCTGGGAGCCAAACCCGTTCCTGACAGTCTAACAGTCACTGTAATATTGTATAACACGCAGTGTAAAATTAAATATACTATGTAATTAAAATGATGAAATTTACGTATACAGTGTTCCTTATTCCATACGAGCCTTCCGGATTTTTTCATTCCGTAATATAGATCAACCAATTGTACCAAATCGCACATTTGTGAGTAGAGCAGCGCACAACGGGGCGAGCGATTGTTAAATCGCACATGTGTGAACGATGTGCGGACGGTATGTGCACGATGTATGCACGGTGTCCGCACGCTATTTTTGGCGTGTTGTGCAGTCACACAATTGTATACCATGTATAGTATTAACAATGCTTGAAGATATTACAAAAAGAATCCAAAGTCAGGTTGATAAATATGACCATGACATTTACAAAACACTATATATTTATATAGGATAGGTGTGATACTAAAGAGTGATTTCAGACGTCAATAGGAATGCTATCAATTGTATATCAGTTAGGAGGGAAACAATGCAAACTTAAAATAGCTAGTTTTTTAATGCAAGTTTGAAAGGATCCCTCAGAATCCTGTCCGTGGCTTGAATCCCGTCTTTTTCCAAAGCAGCTCTCGGTGTCGACCAAGAAATGTAAAAGAATGATTTAAAAATTAATTATCCTGAGAGCTTGATGAGCGTACAAATACAGTGGCTGCCTGATGCGGGGATAAATGTCCCAGAGTGAGATAGCATGACCCCTGACACCTTGACCAATCAGTGACCAGCCTCAGAAACACTGACCCAGTCATCGGCAGCCAATCATTGAACCGTTTTTTGTGCCAACAATTCAAGCTCCAAAATTTAAATTTAAATAACAGTAGATCTAAAAAACTTGTTATGATGTTACGAGCATAAACTAAGCTAATTGCTTAGCTGCCTTTTGTACTTTTACTTTCCTCTGCCATTACATATTTATCATTCACCCTGCGATTAACTGAATGCCATCCAACTTCCAAATATTGAAAAGATGGGTGTACTGTGGATAATTCAAGAGCCTTCAAGACTTATTCAAGTTTTTAACGTTCTACAGATTTTAGTCCCTTATAAACAAACCTCGTTTATTTAGACAGATACAAAGACTTTTCTTAACAAACTGGGGTTTTAATACGATGCTATAGATAAACAAATCGCTTTTAATTTTAGTTACAACTAGATATTTATGTAAAGATACCAATTTCATCAGTACATTGTTCTTTTATAGATCTGACTTAAAGGGTACTATCTGCTATTGAGCAGCAATAAATAATGTAGATTTCTACAGATATTTAGGTATTATTGGTTACAATTCACAAACCGTTTTTAGGATTAACCAGTACTTAATAAAATAGAAGGTGATATGTGGGATTCGTATTGATTTATTTACAATGTACCGTTATAAATTGTGATTGTCAAGTATGATATCATAGATTTCAAATATTGACATTATCTACAATATCTTTAGCTATTAATTGGACGTTAAACCGTGAAAACAAAACCAAGCTAATTGAAAACTGTAGCCGTAATCACAGAAGGTGCCACAGAAAAACCAAGCAAAGTCATGATATACTTTCACACGAACTTTGAGCGAAACTGGAAAATACCTAAACTTCGATCAATCGGCAGCAAACTGATGTCCATCATCTTATTTAACAGTTAAATAGAAGTTGTGAAACGGTTTGCTATTTCATAATACAGACTACGTAACGTTATTAACTAGAACTGGAAAATATTTGAATTTCGTCCGATCAGGAGCCACTTTATTACGACCATCTTGTTCAACGGTGCAGTTTGCCGTGTGATAAAACGCCTACATGTACATAGCAAACTGCAGTAAAATCTGTGAATATCTGATTTATAACCGATCAGATGTATGTCCATTGAGTGGATACACGAATATTGCGTAAGAGGTCGAGGTGCCTTTATACAAACAAACAAACACACAAACACACCTACACCTATACAACCAAAACCCAAAATTTTATTAAAATAGAAAAACAAATATCTCAATTTGACGAATCAAAAGCAGTGTTATACTCTATAGTTGCCATTTTGTTTTAGGAGTAAATGGAAGTTGCTGAAAAGTTCTCTAGGCCATAGGACACAAAAAAAAACAATTTTGTTCAAAATCGGCCAATAACTTCAGATTGTCATAGAAATTGTGTAATGTTCTAATATGATGTTATTGTGTTATAGTCGACTTGCTTAAATTTATTTTTAAACATAATGCTACCGATGACGTCATTCTTCTCATCAGATTTAGTCATATTGACATAATCATAAGAAATACCAGATACATAGCTCAACAAGTAAAACACCGTATAATGTATTGATCAAGCTGCACTCCTTCCACTTTGAACTATCTTTGTCGATACAGCAACAAAAGCCTTCTTTATCAAATTCCATCGAAACCACCTATCAAACCCGATTGTAACATTGATATTTACCTACACGTTTAAGAACACATTCTGCAACACCACTACCATACCAAAAACTGCATTACCATTGCTAAGATTTCGAAAGTCGCAGTTATTTAGTACTGTGCTTTATATAAAGCGTCATGTATTTCGATTCTAGCTAATGTCAGGAGTACTTTAGAATACGTCTGTTTTGGTCAAGGACTAAGTCTGTACTGATTTTATCTTTAAATTTTACCAGTCAGAACACGTGTCACATTACACTTACGCTCTTATCCTTTCAAGGACGAAATCATAGTGTAATTTGCTGTTACAAATCGGTCAGACGAGGGGGCGTATATTTCATTACAAGGTCTAATGTAATAAGGTGCACTACGTTTTTATATGGGAGCGGAACATTTTATAAATCCGGATCCTATTTGAGTGTTTTATTCCCAAACTCATATTAATACCCGATAAGGTATTTCATCCACAATTCAGAACCTTAATCTATTTACTTGTAATTATAACTGCATTCTGGTTATTTTCTATTCAATGACTTAAAATACTTTAACATTATGTCATGCTGTATATGTGCATTAGAGCAATTTATGCATCTAACTATTATTATATGATACCAATTAAGATTACATTTGTTCGGTAATACTAATGCATGATGATTGTAAAAACACAGGTGACTGCAGCTTTTACTTTTACTTTCCTCTGCGATTACATATTTATCATCCACCCTGCAAATATTTCCAGAAATGAAAAGTATGATTGCCCCGTGCACTATTCCATCACCTTAAAAGCAAATTCATACTAGTTTGTAATGTTCAAATGAATTATTGCCCCATATACCACTATTGTCACATTCAACAATACAGTCACACAAACGTACAAATCATCGTTTATAAAGACAGATAATTGAATATTTCTTAACAAACTGAGCTATCAAGACAATTTGATAGGTACCACTATCAGGTTTCATTTTCTGAAACAAGTTACAATCAGATATTTTTGAAAAGATACCATTTTTATCGGTACCTTGTTCTCATATAGATCTGGCTTATATGATACTTTTAGTTTTGATATAACCTAACTGTTGTGTGGACATTGAACGCCGATGAATACGTGTTGTTTTCTTCTGATATTTCTCTATTCTTGAATACAAATTCACAAACCATTGTTTAGGTATAAAACGTATTTTCTTAGATCATGATTAAGAAGAGTAGCTACAATGTGGGATTTGTTTTTATTTATTTACAATATATCGTAATGAGTCGTGTCTGTGAATTATGTTATATAACATTTGAGATTAGGACAATATCTAAAATGTCAATAATCTGCAATTAAAAAAAATAACTAAGAAAGCTGTAAAGGAATCGGAGATATTTATAAAATAATTCAGATTCAATACAATTAAAAAACAAAGATATATGGGTTTTCACCATAACTACACATGGCATATATCATCTACAATTTTCCATTCACACAACTGCTCGCTGAATACTTCCTGTAAAGCAAATCCATATTTATTTGTCATTGTGTTGTCATTCATTTGTCATTTTAAAAGGTAAAGAAAAAACATTCCCTAGAGAAGTGCATCAAAAGCAAAATGTTGTGCCCATTTGCTCCTGCATGTTTGAATTTAAGAAAATTTTGTGAATATTTCATTATTATATTTCCTTGCAATTTCCTTATGAGAGAAGAGAAAGAGAGCAAACATCTTTAAACATGTCATTAACCTCTCTTGCAACCTTAAAATAGCAGTCTTTATAAAGAATGTCAACTAATTATCAGATATGGGTTGTACCATAGCGGGGTTTTTTCAGAACTCTAAGCTATCCTCTTTAATTCACTTTTATAGCATGAAAATTAATTAACTTTTCCCAAGCTTTAAACACATCTGACGAAAAACATTATTTTAAAAATGTTTTTGGCACTTATATATGTTATATAAGATTGTGTTGATAACATTCATCAATATAACTAAACAAATAAAATAAAATTGTGCTGAGCTTTGTAATAAAGTCGCCACTTGGATTTGCCAATGTCATGAATACGTTATTAAGTTGTGAATTGAAAACAATAAATGTTCCTCTTTGACGAATGTTCATACTGATATTTGGTCAACTATGGCGCATATTTTTATTTTTAAACATGTCCCCGAAATGATAGTTTAGTCACCCAAAACTCCAACAACGTTCATGAAATTATTAACACCAATCCCAAAATTTCGTGGGCGACATTCAATGCCTCTGCAGCATATCCTGTCAGCCAATCATTGGCACTGACAAATAATTTTTGCCTATTTACAATTTCTCTTTTTGTAATACCTGTTTAGATCAAACCGGATGTTATCCAGCCCTGAAACTATATAAAGAACCACAGATGAAACAAGCAGCACAACATTTGAAGAAGCAGGAGTTGCTATTGAGAGTCAACATCTACTAGCGAAAATGAGTGCCCCTGGAGCTAAAGGGCCTCGGGTAAGTGGGATATGTGAATGTGTTAAAATGAACCGGACATTTTTAAAGCTGCTATGCGGACTATGTACGATCGAAGTTTTATCTAATAACGGCAGAAGTGTTGTACTTTAGTAGAATGATAATTCCGGAAAAAATGTTAATCATTATCTTTATAACATGTTCATACATTAAAACTTATTTTCGTCGTGCCAATTTCATCATAACTATCGTTATCTTCTGTTGTTTTTATTATCAAAAATGGTTAATATTTACTTATTTGATTTTGAAACTAGATATGCATTTCAGAGTTATTTTTTCTTTCCGCTTCTTAAATCTTATATATGTGAATACACTTTAAATTTCAAATACTCTCACACATCTCTTTGTACCGTTGTGAGATTACACAAGGTTAAACGATGTGCTGTGTGAACTAGGTGTGTAAAGTGTGCGCAAAACTTGTGGACGATAAAAAAAAACAATGGTTGATAATATCTTACATTGCATAGGTTTACAAAATCAGTTAAAGTCTGAAGATGTGTTTCTTTTTTGTTATTGCTTTTGTATTTGCCGATTTATTTTTTATGCAGAGGATTTTAAATTAAAAACAGTTCTAGCCTTTTCCGGATTAGACATTTTATAAAGAATCATATAAAACGTTTCTATTTGTTCGTTACATCTCAAGGCTCACATTGTCAGTAAATTTAGTAACAATGAATATAATACATGTTTGACGGTTGCAGATTTTTGTTGTGGATTTGCCAATCATGGACATATTTACAGTTTTTCACAGTATTCCTGAATATTGAAAATTAACGCATAAAATCCATGGAATTTTCATGAGACAGCCACATGTTAATAAGTTTATTTCATTTTTTTTATTTGTGTAGGAGTTTCAATAAACATTTTTTAAATGAGGGTAAATGTGAGGTCTGTTGTTCGGACAAGATTATTAAAATTTGCAAACTCAATTCTTGCTGTGACACGCCCTTTCTCAATTTAAATTTCATAAGTTACATCGGTACTTTTGGTAGGTTTTAATTGGCCAGTAAAGCAATGTATTCGCTAAAAGTAAACGTGGAAGGATATTGTTTTACCATAATGTAATTATTCGTATCAAATCAGTCAATTGTTTATCGTAAATTTCCTTTTGTGTAAGCTTGTAAGCTCGCAACTTTCTACTGTTTATGTGTGTGTTACACGGTTGAATCTGTGAATAACGGTACGTCTGACTGAATTGTTGTCCAGGTCAAACATTGAATGCGTTTGCAAACACCGACGACATTTTTTCTGTGAAAGCATTATCGCCTGACAAAAAGTGTCACCCTATTTGGCTCTTTGTGCACGTATATTGTATTCCAGAACGTTGAATTCCAGAAACGTTTCCCGGTGTAAACAGCTGTACAAACTATATATTTCGTGTTTTCTCAAAAGGTTTTGTTATTCTAACGTTTTCTGCTGCATTGTTATAAATAATTATTTTGATCTCCTCTTGAAATATATATTTAGGTTAGTTCTTTTTTAAACAGCGAACAGGGTGCTCAACATTCGTGTTTACCATACCTTAAACTTGCCTCATAGAGTTTAACAACAAGCTATGCTTCTTATAGATATTTCTATGTTACCGGAATTACCTTAGTGCTATACTTTAATCTCGTATGATATAAACATACATATTTTCACAAACAGAACTTGAATTCACAAGTCGTTTATTTCCCTCGTGATTGTGTATTTGTAAAATCCACTTAATGTTTTATTAATCGATTCAATCGTAATATACGGTGGTTTGTAAATGTGGCACAGAAATAAATAAGCCACAAAAAAACAACATTCTGTTGGCAAATTGACTTTAGGAAAAACAAAATATTCAACTCGCTTCTGATACAGACTCAAACATAAGCGAATAGAACAGATTGTCTAAAATGTTTCATCCTAGCCGTAAATGTTGGCGTGATAGTTAAGTATGTATTCTGTCAGTATTTAAATCGTTTCACCTGCTTCTTTGTAGATTACTGTTTATACTCAGACTAATTCCAAAGGTGCGCTGAAAGTTTGTGATGGGCCCGAGTATAGCCTGGCCTTCACTGGATTCGATGATAAGATAGTTTCCGTGGATGTCAAACGTGGAATGTAAGTATAATTTACAATATGTTATAACTCTTTAACTATTGTACTAGTACATGTAAGAGTCGGGAAACTGAATTTCGGTGATATACTATACAATTATGGTGCATCTGTAATAATGAATAAAGAAAAAATAATTGATTTCGGATATCAAAGGTAAAAACTGCATCATTGTTTTCTGATGTAAAGAGGAATACAACTAAAAGAAGGTTGATAGTTAGCATTTCTTATGTTTATATTTAAGATTTTGACAATCACGGATATGCGAAAAATCTGTTGAATATGACATCATTCTCTGATAAAGGTGCCTCAGCCCATTGGAATCAATTGTTGTATAGGTTATATGATAACGCCTTTTTTAACAATCTTTAAATTAGCATCATACAATTCCGTATATAATTTTAAAATGCAATTGTATGCAAATAAGATATATACAATTTCATCTATTATAATAAATTTGATCACATTTATTATTGATACACATATATAAATAGAACAGAGTTGTATTAAATATAGTATTTTATTAAATATAGTATTTCATTAAGTACAGTATTTAAAATCTTCAGAATTTAAAAGTGATCGTCAAATATGTTTTCATAAATGTATCCTCACTCATCAAAGTAGATCGCAATATACATCTTCGATGTAAATATAAAATATTCACAAACACATTATAAAACAAATGACTGCCTATATTTATACATCAATGTAAGAAGTCTTCGATTTGAATATATTTGTTTTACTGAGTTATATAGTGAACGTGTCATTACATTACCTGGGCTTCAATGCTATTGAAATGTATTCAATCATAATTATTATCATGTCGACTGCGTTTTATCCTTTCTTGACAAAGTATAATCATTTCTTCATTGCTGGTGAAGTGACGGCGTTGAATCCTTCAGCACGTACGTTGCTTTCAAAATCACCCAGCAATTATGAATGGCTATTTACGTTTGGCTGATTTTGTATTCTGTCAAATAGCAGGCCTCAAATGTGGTCCATTCTAAAATTGTTCGGGAAAACGAGCTTCAGCAATTTTAAACGATTTTAATTGGAATGAAACGAGTTATACATTTTTAAATGATATGATTGACCCGTCGATAATGATATCCGTGGCGGGTTTCACATGTCGGAGAGAGGTTTACCTGTAACACGTATGTAATAGCGGATATGCGTCATTACAGTAAGGATAACTAAAGTTGAATACATGTTTTCTGTCTTGACTTTAAACAATACGCTAGTCCTATCTTAATTAAAAAAAAGAATTCAAGGATTAACTATTCACTGCATTATTGCTGAAACTATCTAGAAAGATTTTCATTAAAAATGAGTAATTCGGATTAAAAAAAAATCGCTCGCATACATAAAGGAATTGAATGCAGTCCCACACGTAACGGCATTGATTACAATCGATCGGTATCAGAGTAAATCAATATAATGAGGTAACGAATATCAGGTAATTCGTGGCATTTTTCCAATGATAGCTTCACCTTTAACATAAACCACACGAATACCGTGTATATACGTATGTAACCTAGGGGAGACAAATCCTACAATCTTACTTGTATGATAGGTTTTTGGCTAGCAACTTTGATTTATCATATATAATATATATGAGACAGAGAAAAAGTCTCGTGTATTTGATTAACGGGGAAAATAACCTCACATAACCCACGTGTAGGGATATAGGACGTCCGTAACATTATATTGACTTTTTGTTTACTTCTATACGTTACAGATGGGTACTGTACGAAGATGTTAACTTTGGTGGAAACATCTATGTGGTTTGGGAGGGACAAAAGATCAATTTACCAATGAAAACTACATCCTCGCTCAAACCTATTGAAGGGGTAAGTATAGAAATAAGAGCTACATCCTCGCTCAAGTCTATAGTTGCAAGTAGTATAAAAACTACATCCTCACTCAAGCCTATCGAAGGGGTAAGTAAAGAAATAAGAACTACATCCTCACTCAAGCCTATCCAAGGGGTAAGCATAGAAATAAGAACTACATCATTGCTCAAGCCTATAGTTGCAAGAAGTATAAATCTTCACCCTCACTCAAACCTATCGACTACGTTATGATACCATGGATTTTTGTATCAGAAATCATGGAATTTTGTATCAGATATCATGGAATTGTGTGTATATATTATATAGGATATTTTATGATTTTCCAAAAAAAAATCCGTGTACGTTGTATTAAATTTTAAAGTGCAACGACGAAAATATTACCACAAAATATTGCTGCAACAACAAATGTTGGATGTAGTTGCGTACAATTTGGTGCCAGTTTCTAATGACGTCACTCTTGACAACAAGGCCTTGCGCCACATTTAAATAGGTAAATCTGGTATAACATGCATCTGGTATTATTTGCGTACATTGTTGTTACTAATACAAAGCAGATTGACTTATATAGCAATATGTTGCCCTTGATTTGTTTTCGTTCGAAAACCGGGAAAAGAAACCTGAACCACAATTAAAAACCTCAACGTCAATTTATAAACATCCTATTTATTAAATCGACATTCATATTTTCTGTTTTAAATGACATTTGGTATCTAGAAAAAAGTGTTTAATACAAAACACGAAGCGGATCTTAAGTTATACTTATCTCTAACTTTTACATATTATCCCATGAGTTAAAAACAACTATATCTCTTGTTACTAACAGAAATATCAGAACTAGGACATATACGAAATAAATATATCAGAATTGTTCCGATATTTTCTAAACTTTTATCAGAATTTCATAAAATAAGCATATAGTGTGAGTAAGCTAAGTTCATAACATTAATATGATACTAGCATGTATCAAATTTGTTTAGAGAATATCTTAGTATGACGTCACAATAACCTCCTCTTTCAATCGGCCGGTTATATCTGGAAAGGCAGATGCAATGTCCGTTGTTTCAACACTGTAAATGTTTTTAATTCAACAAAACATATCGTTCATTTATAAAAACCAACTTGTTTAAATAACCTGCCTCAAATCTGAACAATGCGGATAGTTTAGATTCCGAAGACACAACTATGCCGATCAACCGAGTTATGATAATGTTTCTACCGACATGTTTTCAACAATGTAATAACACATAGGAACTTATCAACACACTTAAAAGCTTTACGTATATTATATAATAGAATAATTACACTTAAATAGTCGTAAATGAAACAATTAGAGGATTTACTAGGTCAATACTGCCTTAAACAAATGCTCCCAAATGGGGGAAGTATATCAATTTGAAGCTTAAGAGTAGATACTCTCTAAATCTAATCTCTATTTTTGACAATGTAAAATTCCAAATTAATTAATAAATGTCACAAATAAGCAAATGCAATGCTCTTTTCAGGCCTCGCCTTTTCTGTATGTATGTGGTTAGTTTAATAGGTAATGTATGCACCAAAGATGTACAAAAACGAATCGATTTTACCGTCTCTTCATCTGCAGCAGGAACAGAAATACAGCTTTGTGCAGATCATTACATTTCGTATATTTTCACTTCAGTATATAACGATACATAGGTGTTTTTTTATCAAATAAAATATGACATTGTCTAATAATGCACTGGTAAAAGTGTGATACATCCGAATTAAACACCATAAACGGCCGGAGAAAGTTTCAAATATCGCAACGTCACTCAGTCTGAATATGAAGGAACCATATCCGTAAAGATCTAATGTCTTCAAACGTTAAATTCTATTATATTTTGCTTAAGAAAGCGTTCACTTTAAGAAAGTAAAACATAGCAATGGGTATTATACTAAGAAAACATATTGATGATTTCAGATAGTACATGAACAATGATTATTTCGAGATAGAAAAATCAATAAATGTAACTCAATTATGTTGCCAAAAGTGGTGTGTAAATCGGTTAATTTTAAGGTACAAACTTGTCTCATTATCGTTTTCTATTTCTTTTAGGATTTCTCCGACAATCCCTCTTTGACCGTCTACAATGGGCCATCTTTCACTGGAAAAAACAAGACTTTTAATAGCTCGAATAGTAACCTCGTAGCCACTGAATTCCAGGACTCCATTACTTCAGTTTTTGTCGATAGTGGAACGTAAGTATGTCACCGTACTGTTAATGTGCAGAGACAGGGGAGACAATCTTCATATTATCTATACACTAGGTAATTTACATACTGAACACTGTAACTTTGGAATGTTTGGCTATTTTTAGTTGGTATTTTAACCGTTTCTACTGTTAACCGAGGAGTGAATTCGAATTCAGCATTAAGACGATATTAAAGCAATTCGCTAATGGCCAACTTCAACTTGCACGTACACATTCAATAACAACATTACGTTATTGCTATCTCTGTCTGTCGTTCGAAGGTATAGTATTAAGGATCGAATGTCTTCAGTAAGCAAACAATTGGGTTATAGTCTGTTTAACAGTTAAAAATTCAAATGCACCCAAAACCTAAGATATCAACAGGAGAATGTAGAATGAATGCTCCAGGGCAATGTTGTAGATGGGGTCTGTTGTTGAGGTTTGGTGGTGTAGAAACACTTATACGGAAATTAATGTGCCTAAAACTAACACTAGTATCTAAAACTGTTTAGAAATTCGATTGCTTAGATTGTTGTTAAAAAAATCAAAATATCAAAAGTCTTTTACCGTTTTCGATTTTGTAATTTGTAGGTTTCTTTTCTATTTATTAATAGATGAAACAGGTTTTTTAACGATGATGAAGTGATTATGTGATCAGGACCCACTGTTTTGAAATTGAAAAACAAATCAGAATGTTCGTGACTTGGTGAAAAAAATGGGGGTATAACTATAAAGATTTGTCAAAGACATTTATGAGAGAATATTGATATTAATAGCTTTTTTTCAACTTTCCTTAACTCTAGCAAGAAGAGAAAGCATTGTAAACATGATATTCTTAACGTTATTTAGACGGAAATCCTACATATTGCGAGAGAATTGTTCCCGATGGTGGGCTATCCAAATCAAAATATTGAATTATATATTATAGTATATTTCATTCGATTTTTGATATTTTTTAAAGTAACACCGTAGATTTCGGAAACGGTTAAATAAACATGCGTCCCAATCCATGACGTTTCTAGAAAATGATGTACTTGGTATGTAAATACACTTACATATATATATAAGTAATAAGGCATTTCATCTAACTGAATGAGTAATAAACATTATTTATTTCAATTGTAGCTGGGTAGCTTATCGAGATGTCGACTACCAGGGCCCGCAATACTTGTTCACAAGGGGAGCTTTCAATGGAACGTCCTCCGAGGGCCCCTTTCAGAACGACAAGATTTCGTCACTGAGACCGATTACGCGTTGTGGTTGCTGAGATGGGACATAGAAACTTTGAAACAGAATATACATCGACATGTGGTTAAATGTCCGTATAAACATTTATAACTACAATAATCATTTTAATTTTAAATATCTTTGGCAATCAACGCCCTGCTTAATGCTTTTGTTACTGCATACCAAATACAAATGTGTTCAAAACATAGCTGTACCAGCATACCGTTATAACGAGTCGATTCTTCCACGTATACATCAATCAAATGATGAAAAGTAATACAGCTACTTATATACGATCATTTGAACAATCGTTACCCATGTAGCACCATTTCGCTTCTATAGCTGTTCTTACTAAATCATATTTCTACCCTGACTGAATTTTTTGTGCTCTTTATTTCTACTATGTATCAAGCAATACACGGAATAAATAGTTCGTAATCAAATGCATGTATTTCCTTATTTCTTGTGATAGCAAATTATCGTATCAACAATAACAAGTTTATAGTTCCTGTCTAGCATAAACACATTTAAATGATAACATTTTATGACTCAAAATTGTACAGACAACGAATGTCTAATATCTATTTAAATAAAGGAATAACCTAAAGGTGTTCAGAAATTTGTAGATGTATATCGTGATTTTTCGGATAGAGTTTCAAGTCAACACAGATATAACGACACCAGACCTCAAAACAGAGTAGCGATATATACCGATTCTAATAAATATTCAAACTAACTCAAATCACTGAAAGAAACTATATGTGCCTGTTAAAAACATCCAGGTCAATCTGCTGTGTATTATTAAAATTTAATCCAAGTCGGAATTACTCTGACAAATTAGAATCACACTACTGTTATATTAACCTTAAAAACAATCCATTTCATGAGGTATGCTGCAAAAGTTATTCGTGATCATTAACAATTGCCACCCACATTCCATATGCAAATGGAAATTTGGGAACGGTATAATTGTTATACAACAAGAATACAAGAATACAAGAAACTTTATTTCACGTCGCATACAGGTCAACAATGAACATTAGCTCTTGCGAGGTAGTATTCCGACAAACATATGTAAAATAACAATAACACATTATATTACAAGTGAAGGGAGATAATCACATATATTTTTGATAAAAAGCAGGAATAATTATCACAGAAAAAGAAAGTATCATATCCCAAGTTTCTAAGTGATATGGTAGTAAATGGTGGGACATAATTTCAAATCACCAATCAAATGCCGCGTAATATATAAAGTGAATTACAAGTATAGTTGTCAAAAATAAATAATTACTTGTACTATGAAAATAATTTCAGGTAATAGGAAATTTTCATAAACATCTTTATATATGCAATATTACTCAAATCTTTGATAAAGAATGTGTTCAATATATAGGAATGGAAAAAGAGATGTAGATTGATTGTCTTTTAAATAAAATTTTGCAATTTTTTAAAAGACACGCTCTAGATTTGAATAATGTAATTGGTAAGATAATTGAACCAACGTACTGAAAGGTTTGGTAAAAGGGATTCTGTAGTATTTGTAAGAAGATTAATGATCGATTGATTAAAAACGATTTCGATTTTAAAGTTTAATTATAATTGATAAGTTAAGATATTGATTAAATTGTTAATTCCCGACTTTTAAATTGCAATATGCAACTATGAAATCACGATATAAAATTTGTGAAAGCATACATTTCAAAATAATGCTTGTTTCCTGAAATGTATCGATTTGTTCTGAGATGAAATAAATAAATAAATGAAACAGATTCCTTTGACAACAACGACGTTTTTCATCATATACAGTGTGTGTACATATATATTTAGGGGTACTTGCATGTACATCAAGTTTCCTCCGATATTGGAAGTGACAGATGTTGAACTGAATACGTGTATACGCACCTCACCAGGTGACAAACGATACACTGTAAAAACAGGGACACACATCACCCAGATACTGTTATCCGATCATTTCGTACAGAAAGTCAAGAGATCATGCGGCATTAGTCAAACAGGGCCGCTTGAGATTGCCAGGATTGTCAGTTTAGTTAAAAAAGTTAATACCGAGCGCTTTAAGCTTGATATTACGATAAGACAAATACCTTTCTTGCCTTAAAGATTATTATGTATATTTTTAAAAAAAACATATTTAATGAGGTTATAACATCAAATAGTCTTATAGGAAGGAAGAGATATTCATAGTAAGAATGATGTATATGGAAAAACTATCTTATAATCTTCAGCGAATTCCCTAAAATAAAATTGGAGTATCATTTAAACAAAAATCATATTTCATGTATAAGTTTTGTTAACAAAATTTCGAAAATAGTCTGTATCTCTTGACCATCGGGGAAACAATACTATACTTCAGCGTTTACAGATCATGTTTACATACACAGCCACGTCTTTAGACTAGAACAACTGTTAAAGGGAGGACAACCGGAAACTAAGGAAAATCAACAAATTTATCTGGATTAGGAGTGAAGGAGATTGACAAACAAACACGAGGGGGCCACCAGCTGAGTCATTTTTATGACCCAATTTTAGTAGCATCGACTAAGAAGCTGGACGGATAAACATATTACAAGTCCTTCTGACTGCCTACAGTATAAGAGTGCTATTTGGCGAAATGTCTTGATATTTTCTGACAGTTGACTTCACTGACTTTGTGGCTTAGTGAAATGTTTTCGGCAGTTTTGAGTCGAGACACTGGTCATTTGCATTCTTTGTTCGACAAAGGTAAAACAAGTTTTCAAATTGTCGCGAAATAAGTTTTAAATTACTGCCCAAAAGAAACTTCAATTTTTTCAATAAATATGTATTTATCAATTGTACAGAACAAAATTGAAATACCACAATAAGTAATACATATAAATATCACCCAATATCCTCAAAATCAATCCCAAAAGCACTGTGTTTATCTGATTTATGTTAAGTCAAACAGACCAACAACAGGAAGGAAGACAGTCATATGACTCCCGCACCTTTCGCATTCGTGTATGTTATTAGAGTAGCTATAGTAAAAATTAATTCTGCTGTTATTTGTCATTGATTTTACATAAAAGCAAAGTCCGTAAGGAACACTGAGTAAAGGTTGCAGCATCAATGTAAACATACTTTATTTGTCTTCGTGTTGTAACATGCTAAACAGAACGCTTTGTAACGTAAGCTATGTCACATCTGTCTCTGGCACCTTGTTGGTAAAAACCTTATCTGCTGTGATATTTCCTCATTTCTTTAGTTTTCTATAAGACAGTAACAATACAAATGTAAATATATTCACAATCTACAATTAAAATAATAAATCTAACATTAATTGATTAAATTCGAAATAATAATAAATAATAATTAAAAAAAAAACAATCTTAGAAACAACAGGAATACTTTTGTCATATTCAGTCATTAATGGACGTTTTGAATTTTATTTTAACGTTTACTATTAATGATTTTATGTTATTAATGATATTTGTATCACAGTATATTCTGCAGAAATTTGAAAATATTAGACCAATTCTAAGACTGTATGCTACATCCCTTATGTAAAAGGTCTTGTTCAGTAGTTTGTTATGCCAACTTTGTAACAGGAACAGGACGAAGATCAAATTGAACTGTATTTGTATGATTAGTAAATCCAAATAAATTGGTGTATTGATAGGTTTTTTGCATGTAATACACATAAATCATACAAAAAAAAAACTGTATCGAGTACATCAATCCATTTGTTCCGTATCTGTATCAAATTCGTGCATTCGACCATATTATGTTGCTCTGTTTTCTGTTGGTTTTAAGCTTGACAATAATATTGATCTCCATCTCCTAGATAACTTATTTAAGAATTATTTCTCCAAATACCTCGAAAGGGTTACTCACCGACTCATCGAATAAACCTACTAGGAATTGGTAAACATTTTTGGTTACCCACTAGTTTGTAAAACACATGATTGCATTGCTCAATTTGCTTGTATTGTGACGTCATATATCATGGCAATTGTTTTTTCCAAAGAGAAATTTATTTTTGTTTATATGTGTATGTATTATCTATCATTGTGGGTGGTCCTCAAATTCGTGCTGTTCGTTCATCATGTTTATCTAACCCTCGTTAGTTAATTTTCAAATTGTAAACTATATTCGGTAAACCTCGTGTTTTTATTCATAACGAGCTAGTTTATCATTGTAACCAACCATTGTAACTTTAGTAAACGTTGCGGTTATCATATGATACGGTTCATCAATGGAAATAAACGTGTGTGATACTATTCGCGTTATGACTCTTTAAACAAATCTTAAACCTTCTCGTTGACCGCTATTGTCTTTATTTCCTCCAAATGATGATAAAAAAAAAACAAATTTACATGTATATTAAGGATATACTCTTCTGAGGTTTCAATCACGTTCAAGTCTCGATTTGATCTTGGGTTACAGGTTTTTGTAGTATTTAAAAAGTTATTATCAATTTTAAAAGCAAACACGCAAATGAAAAATGTGTTGGAAATACTAGATGCCTGATGTTTGTAGAACTTTTTTAAACAAGAATTTAAAAATAATTACCAATTTGGCAGCCATTTTGAAAATGTGTTTTTCTTGCGCTTCACGAAAGACCAACAATCTTTTTTTGACACTATATTAATCACTGATATCGTCATTGTGTCGCTATGTTCAAATGTAGCAAGTTCATTTTTGCTGTAAAACTGTATTATGTTCAATATGATGAAAATAACATGCAACAAGGTGGTAAATTATACATGATTGGTATTTTGTTAACTTGTTTATAGTAACTGAAAGACTGCGAATTAAAAAAAAAAAAAAAAAAAAAAGGTTAAGGGACTTTAGTAATGGTAGCTTAAATCGCTTTTCTGAGATAAAAAATAAGATTTAAAAATTGTACTTTGATAATATAAAAGAAAAGACTGTTTTTTAATTTTGCAAACATTCATACATATCTGATAACACACTTGGAAGATATTGTATGAATTTGTTCTGCAAATGATCAAAAACAACCTAAAATTAAATATTATGTTAAATAAGTATCTTTGACAGGTCATAGAAAAAAAATGAAACATGGATAAATCATTTATTTTTTCATTTTCTACTGTGCCATTAACTCCTTTTTTCAAAATATTCATATCAGAAAAAAAGTTTTTGACTTCTTAGAGGCTAACATCCTTAATGAAGACAAATTTAAAAAAATGAAATTAGAACAGCTGATAAATATAACAAACAGTTGGACACTTGGAAAAGTATATGTACATTTCATGTTGTCCGCATTGGTTGTATTTGCATGTGCGTAAATATGTTACTAAAGGGCCTTGATAGTGATGAAATTCTTAGTAAATAAATAAAACAAACTAACCTACTGTGAGTGGTGGATAAACCATTTGTATTAGATCTGACAGCATCATATGTGAAGATATACCATTTTACAGATATAAGATTTCTAGGT